GGGTACTCGCGGGTTTTTGTAAGAAATAGATCTGGTTTGGTGATGAATAAATAGACGTGTGGAAAGCAACTGAAATGTTCTGAACTCACACACACAGTCTTTGAATGTTAACGAGTTGTTTCCCAGGAGTAAGTAGGCTGTGTCTGGAAGTGTTCAAAAATGTGCTCAGTGCCTTAATGTCTCATGACCTTTAGCCATGTGTGAAAGATTGCGGTTTTCAAAAGACAGAATACTCGGCAGTGTCTGAAAGTCCAGACTTCTTAAAATAGCTTCAGTCAGACTCCTTTTCCCTCCACCATCCCCCCAGATCAGACTGCTTGTTATTAGCATACAAGGGAGATCTGGGTTTATGAAATGTCTATTTTTTACCTATTTAGCCTTCAGCATCTTTCTAAACTGCAAATATTGTGGCAAGAGGCTGACTTGTATGATTCCACTAAAACGTGACCTTTTATTACCCAAAGGAATGGGCGGGGGAAGGATAAGACCTTATTCTACTAAACCATGAGATGTTTTGCAGATGTTTTCCACCCCTACCTACCTTAGTAAATGACAGTGAGCTTACTGAGATTTCTGATTTGCATAAATGCAACAGAATAAATTTAGACTTGAGCCGCTTTTTTGATGTGAACTGTGAGTGTATGTGCATGCTGCCTGTTGTCCCGAAAGGCTACAGTGAACTTCCTTGCTTGTTATCAAGTACAATAAGGCAGTTGCCTGTTTTTTGGACATAGCCACTCATCTTTCTGGAACTCGTAATTCCTGCAATTCATAAAGCAAAGGTGGTAATGACCGTGCTGCTGTTGTTATCCTTTAAATAAGCTCTCTGTGGTGGCGCTGGGATTCCAGCCTTCGAGAGCGCTGCTGTCCTTGCCTTGCCACCCACCCTTGGTGGTGGTGTGCTGCTGCCCCGTCACCGCCCGGCCCCGCTCCCTCACCCGGGGCTGTCACAGTCGCCCCTGGGCGCCGGCGAGGGGCTGGTGCGCCGACCTCCTGCAGCTGGCTGCTCGCGCTCCAGGTGCAAATCCCTGCTCTGAGTCTAATAATAAAATGATTTAATCTTTACCTCTCTTTTGGTGTAAGTATGTGGCATATAGTCATTTGAGGAATGCTTGGTACACCTGGCACAGGTTCAGATAGGCACGCTCGGGCAGCAGTTCTGTTCAAGAGTCAACAAGGGGGAGGTTTTGCACTGGTCCCTGGTGCTGGGGTTGGACCTTCCTCAGCAGTTTGCTGCCCTGCAGAATCGGGGAGCACCAACAGCACAGGAGTGGACGGACGTGAAGTACCCCCCAGCCTGCACGGTCCAGGTGCAGTCAGTGTGGGAGGCTGGGAGCACCGCACTGAGCTGCTTGGAAAAGGTACTCGTCATCATTTAGTAACGGTTTTGACTTTGGGATAACAGAGGATCCGGGATAACGTGTCCATCTGTAATTTCTGCAAAGTCAAGAATTCTGATCTCCCGTTTTCTTTTTCTGAGGGATGCTGTGTATTTGCAGTTTTGTGCATGCCCGCGTAAATAAAACGTTGTTAGTGCCTGATACGTTTAAGATGTACTAATGCTCTTCAAATTATGTCTCTATTATAAGCAAAAGTATTTAGTTCTGTTTTGTGATATGTTGGATT